TAAAAAAGTTTGAAATATCCAATAAATTTCATTCCACTTCATGATTGTGTCCCACTTGTTGTTGATTCTTCACAAAAAAAATACAGTTTTATATCTTTATGTTTGAAGCCTGAAATGTGGCAAAAGGTCGCAAAGTTCAAGCGGGCCGAATACTTTCGCAAGGCACTGTAAATAAAATTTGGACTGCAAACAACTATTATGTTTACAATCAATTAATCCAACTATTTTCTGTATTCAGTGACTTCTTGTTCTCCAGTCAACAGTCCAAACCCCCAAACTTTTCAATTTATTCTGGCATAAGAAAAGGAAAAGCAGCAAATCCTCCTTATATGTGAGAAGCTGGACCAAGGTAACATTTGCTATTTTTGCTTGAAAAATAAATCATTTAACAAAACTGTTGCCGATTACTTTCCTATTGAGAGTAAAAAAAATTCTGTAATGTGAAAATAGGTCGGTGACAAGTGACCATATAAAAATATGACAACCTAGTAATTCATAATCACCAGCTTTTATTTAAGACAACAATAGCTTTTTGGGGTTATATGGTTTCCTGTTCTTTGGCCTCACACACTAACAAAAGTAAAAGACAACAAACAGAGCAATATCTAGTTCCACAAACATTTTTATCTCTGTAGAACATGTGTCTAACATAACAGGAATTAGAAAACATCTTACATCTGTGTTTGTTGATAAGGGACTGAAAAAGCACCACAGCTGTTTGCATCACTCTAGGAAAATTTAGCAAAGGGGAGCCTCTCTCTCTTCCACATATAAACACATACAACAACAAATTTTACTTTGGAGGTAAATATCATCTGATATTTGCCTTTAAACCCTCCTTTTTAACATCCCTCTGGGTTAAATATAGCTAGTGTAGCTGACTGTTCCGAACAGACTATATTATATTTTAAGTGAGTGTGCAATGGTTGAAGTGGAAATATTGAGAGTGAGTCACACAGAAACTGGAAAATGGAGGAGATGAAACATCATACAACAATGTGTGTGGATAGAAAAATAATATTCAGAGGAGAATGTCGCAGCCGGAGGTGTCACACAAAGCTGTCAAGTCATATCTTAAGAGGGTCAGTAAACATACACTTCTCGCAGCTTTCACTAACCACCCATGAGGCACAGATAACCGGCCTAGATCACAAACCTAAACAGACCTTACTATGAGGAGAAAATGATCAACACGGAGGGACAAGAAGACAGCGCTATAACACACACACACTCTCTTGATAAGCCTTCAATAGCCCAGTTCCTGTGCAGCATTTCCCTGTTGATTCACTGCCTGTTTCCTCTTTGAACAATCATTTCAAAGACCACTGAAGAAGAGGGCTTCTTATGAGAGGGCACAAAGAGACTATTTATGAAAGAATGAAACATGCTCTTTCAAAGTACATACACGAAGGACATTTTTAAGTGACATCTGGGCAGTGCTTATAACCCCACAAAACAAGTGCAATCCTGTCTGTCTTCTGTATTTGGGAAATCTAGCATATTGTTGCTGTTCACATGTAAGCTGAGTAGAAACATGACATTAAACCATTTCAAGTCCAAACACAACTGGAAACATAGAACACATGGTCCCCGCTATGTATACTGGCCCAAACACCAAAATGAACAGAGAAGACAATCACTCTGTATGTGAAGCGTCCACATTGTTGAACAATTTACTGGGGTGGCCAATTCCAGTCCTCGAGGGCCGCTGTCCTGCTTGTTTTCCCAACTATCCCTGCCTGACCTGCTGCTAATTACCTGGCTCAGGTGTGTTCAGTCAGTCATGGTATCTTCCAGCTTCTGACTGACTGAACACACCTGAGCCAGGTAATTAGCAGCAGGTCAGGCAGGGATAGTTGGAAAACAAGTAGGACAGCGGCCCTCGAGGACTGGAATTGGCCACCCCTGAAACAGTCAAAAGCATACAAATAGTCTACGTGACAAACCTCAACCAGCACTTCTCTATGTGATGTACTATCACTCCAAATTGCCCCAGGAGTATTTGAACTGAGCTGGAAGTTAAGTTTCATTCATTACACAGACAGAGACAGGGCTTGTCAGTACAGCTGCACCTTCTACTACTTGATATAACGTTAGGAAACTTGATCCTAGTTGTTGCTACTGCTAATCACCTAGCAGGCTAACTGCCAGAGAGCTACTAAAACCCCTCTAGTGCAGATAAGGTGACAGACCCGAGGGACAAAGCCAAATGTTATCTGACAAACAAAACGCTTAGCTGCCAAAAACAACCTCGAAACCCATTGTAAACTATGACAACCCATTTTAAGTTATGTTCAGAATGTCAATTAGAATGGTAAGTTAGCTAACGTTAGCATAAGTTGCTGAAATGCCCCTGGACAAGTTAACGAACTTTGACGACAAAGCTAAAAGGCTAAAAATAAATAAATAAATAAACAACGTGGAGGCGAAAATGTTTACGTTAGGCCAACCCACAAACTGACTGCGAATGTTTAGGCACCAGTATGTATTATGCAAACTAGCTAGCTTTAATGTTTGCTAAAATTAGCCGGCTAGCTGTCCGATAACGGACACATGTGCGTTAAAGTTTTGATCAAGCTCCCGGAGTGACGGGGGAGTTGCTAACTTGGCGGTAGTCACAGATCACTGCTATCCCTCAGCTGGGTGACGCCGTAAATTCCGCTGCTTTCAATGGGCTAACCGGGGACTTCCTTACCGGAGGGTCGGTCCGATACAGTTGGTGTCTGTGCTCTCGATTTCCCGGAGGATACGCTCGTGTTCGGCGGCTGTCTCCATACTCGCCATCCTGCATGTTGCTGTGGACGGCTCCGAGCTGAGCTGAGCCGAGCGGACTGGCTAAGCTCCGTGCGTCATGCAGCAGGAACCAGAGGGTTGGTTCGATGTCTATACATAGCAGCCCGAATGAGTTTCCCTTGTTTCAGGTGGGTGGATACAAAAAAAAAAATGAACATCTGTGCACGGTCATAATTTTATAATTTTTAGTTTTTAGTTGATAATAAATAGAGTTCAACCATTTAAATTGATTTTATGTAAAAGCTCTATAATGCTCTATTTTCCTAATGAACAATTCATTTTATTCCATTATTTGTCTTTTATTTGCCCCATCACTTTTTCATTTTTCCTATTTTACATTATTTGCACACATTTCAAAATGTTCTTAGTATTTAATGTTTCAGGTAAAATGATTATGTTTTGTATGCTAATGCTCCTGAGAAAACAAATTCTTATTACATTCAGTTAGACCCAATTAAAATATTGCCTTAATGGCAAAAAAAACCAACTTGCATTC